GTGAGATTAGTGGACCCACTTACGGATTATTGGTTGGAATCATTAGGACTTACTATATTTTTGGTCTCTTTTTTAGGAGACAATAGGACACTTATTTCTCAACAAATAGTGTGGACAGGTAACTGCCCTAAAACCAACCAATAACGTTTCCTATTTCTTTCTCTCACGTCTAACATTAATCAATTCAATTTTTTTGTCTCACCTATCTATTTAACTTGTAAAAAAATATAAGATTATTTTAAAACTATTTTCAAAATATACAAACAAACAAGTTTTCTAAATTTTTACAAACTTTTTTAAAACAATTATCTTCCAAAATTGATTCTCAAAACTAAATCAAACGGCAGTCCAAACTTTTTTACCGAATCACTCCACATAGGCATGGGGTCCACACTAGTGTGGGTACTCACAGTCCAGTGAGTGTTTTTGTAAAAAATTTAGACTTTGTTGAGATTGAGATTGAACCTTTTTGGCATAATTTTAGCTTGAGGGCTAAAAAGTCCGTTTTGATAATGGATTTTTTGTTTTTTTTTTACTTTTGTGAGAGAAAAAATGAAATGATTATGATTCTAAGATAATGATATTTTGTTATTTTATATAGCCTTTAGCCTATTTTTATCTTTTTATATAACTATTTTAGCATTTTAATTCCAAATTTCTTCATGCCAAACGAAGCGAGAAGTTTTGTTTAAATCTGCAACATTTTTCTTACCTATTTATTTAGGGAAATTTCAAATTATACAGCCTCTTAAGAAAATGTGATAATCATGTACAATTCTACTTATTAATTTTCTTGTTTAGTTATAATTAATTTTTTTCTCGTGAGTTATTGACTAATATTTTAATTTAAACATAGTTGTGTTTTCAATTAATAATATATTATATATATATATATTTTTAATTATGACTTAAAAAATTAAAATTAGTATAATTTATTTTATTACAAATGCAGTATGTACCACAACTTCCCATCAATTTATAAAGAAAATTGCTCATTGGGCTCTGGATCGAATTTTTAGTTTCTGAAAAACTATTTTTTGTAATTTAACGATACATAAATGTATACTATCATTCGTATCCAATCTATATGTCATATTAGATTTTTAATATATTTCTGATTGAATTTAAATTAATATATTTAATCACAGTTTAGAAGATATAATTTATTAAATATTTTATTTATAATTTTATAAAATAATATAATTATTAAAAGTTTAGGGGTCAAATATAAATAATAATAATAATATTGATAGATAATAATATAATTATAGAATATGATAATAAAATAAATAATTAATTTAGTTGATATATGATAGAGTGTAATTTTAATTAAGAAATTAAATTTATTTATATAATTATATTAAAATTAGGAGCTAAAGTGTAATTATTTTAAATATTTATTAAAGATAAAAACGATTCTATATTATTAATCGAATGGGCCACGTACGCGCTTCCCCCCTATGAGGAGCTGATCTGGGCGGAAGAGAAAAGAAAGAAAGAAAGGGAAAATAAAGAAAAGAAAGAAACAGAAGAAATGAAGGAAAAAAAAATAATGAAAGTTGAGAGAGTTTTTGATATTGGAAAAAAAGAGAGAAGTATTAAATATAAAGTGAGTTATATTATATCTTGAGTTATCATAATATATTTTACGTATGTTTTGACTTACCATATTTATTTTATACAAATTATATTTTATAAATTATTATAAACTATATTATTATTTCAGTTACGTTGATTATTTTCTGAATCCTATTTGTTAAAAAGAAACCTATGGATATGTTTATTTTATATTTTAAGAATATTTGACTATGACTTTATATACAATTATATTTTGTAAATATCACTGCGGGAGTCTCATGCCTTGGGGGGACTTAAATAACCATTGATCTCTGTCTTGGGGGACTTAAATAACCAGTGATCTCTGTTTGACCACTTTGTGGTCCTCTGTTTGTCATGGATCCATTGACCTTTGTTCTGTGCGGAGATAAGTGCTACACTATTGTGGGAGTCACCTCTATAATCCGTACGAGTCACCTCTTGAATCCATATCTCTGTTCTGACTGTCACTTCTGTGACCTCTGTTATGTTCTGTTCTGTATCGTAGTTATGGTTATTTATTTATATAATTTTTATATTTCAGTTTCTGCCACTTAAATAATTTGTTTACCAATGATTTATTTACCAAACTGAGTTATGTAAATGTTTTGGCCTAATTTACTATCCATGGTTATTTCGTGTCCTTTATACTCTTGGTATAATATTTCTCACTCTGTCAAGTGCTTATAGTTGTTTACCAATTTTCAGGAAACAATGCAATTCAGAAATAGCTTTTGGAAAGTCTTAGATCGGGGCTGCGGAATAGATACGCATAACACTTTTATGATATTTTTATATGTTAATATCTGCATTTTTTGTCAATATAATTTGTAATAAAAATAGAAGCTCCGATGATTATTTTGGTATCCTCATTTAAATATTATTTAAGCTCGCGTTTATTTATTTGTTTAAGAATTGGCCGGAGATAACCTCAATTACTGGCCATCACGATACTTAACCCTTAGGTACGGGGAGCGGATCGTGACACTATATGTATATTATATAAGGAAAATGAGGTTTTTAACTCACAAGTCTTGTAGGAGCTCCATTGTTTCAATCATAATTTTTTAATTTTTTGATTTAAAAAAAAACATAAAAACTCAAAATTTATTGACTTCTCCCAAACTTTTTTAATTTCCCATACACACCATTTCAACTTTTCTCATACCTATATAATTATTTTGAAAATAATAATTATTTTCCCTTCTCAACTTCTCTCATACTTATTTAATTATTTTGGAAATAATAATTATTTCCTCTTTTCAACTTCTCCCCTACCTATTTAATTATTTTGAAAATAATAATTATCTCTTAATTTATGGATTTCAAATGGAAAGATAACAAAAATATTTCATAATCTCTCCATTCTAATTTCTCTCATCGATTTCCAAAAAAATATATATTAAAACTTGCCTTCTTTTTGTCTCCCTCAAAAAATCAAATAATATTTTTTATAAGAATTGTAGATATCTATCTATATCTTATATATTATATTATAACATTATAAAAAAAATCAGATATACAAACAGATAAAATTAATAAATATAATTTTTATTTATTCAGTTAAAATCCTTCTTTTGCCTCTCAATATCTAATTTTAAAATTTAAAAATATTTAACGTCATCTCCAATGCACTAGGCATATAATACTTGTTAGTTAAAATGCCTAGTGTGATTCACTTTTTTCAATTCCAATACACTAGGCATATGATTAGGCATTTTGGCTCAACTCATATTCACTAGCTACATGTAGCTAGCCTTCAATACAAGTACAGTTTGGAACGCTAGTAAAAAAAATTATTTTTAATTTAAAATAATGAAAAAATTCATTAAATGGTTTAGTTTGTTAAAATCCAACATATAATTAACATTTAATTCCAAAAAGTATAGGTATAAAACAAAAGGAAATATTATTTTGCTCCCCAAACTTTCATGAGTTTTTCAGTTTGGCCCCCAGATTTCATATAATATTAATTTGCCACCCCAAACTTACGAAATTTTAATCAATTTGACCCCTACCGCTGCATTCCGTTTACAATCAAACAGAATTTGCTGATGTGGCACCAAACTTAATTTTGAAGCTCCACCGCCCATTCTCCCAATAAAAATGCCCGTGGCAACATATTTTGCTCCTATGAATACTTCTTCACCTTTGGTTTCTTTAACCTATGGCTCTACTTCTGTTTGTAATAGCAGCCAACTTCATTCTTCAAGCTATAGTTACAACACAAATTCTTCCAAGTTCACCTCATCCTCTGCAACTTCTTCATCTGCATCATCTCATATACAAAAGTAGGTTGATTGAGAAAGTATCTAGTCCAATATTTAATGTATTTGAACATAGTAAAATCATAGTTATAGATATTGATTTCATAGTTTTTACTCTTTGTGCAATTTATACTTTGTATTGGTACCGATGTATCTGCCAAACATAGACAAGCTTGTTTATGATTGTTAAATGTTAAAAATACTTAGAAAGTAATATATGTTGTATATAATAAATATACTATGTTTGTCAAAACTATATAGATAACTCATAGAAGTTAAATACAATTGAGAGCTTATATAACACTACCTACAACAGTACATTCATCAAATTATGCTTCCATACGAATATGTAGTACATGATGAAATTTATAGGACTGAGATAATGAATTAAATCCATGAAAAAACTATAATAAAAAAAAAGAGTCAATTTGTCACAAAGAATATAACCAACTAATTTGTGTTTAGGCCAAATGGGTCCTGTTATATCATCCCTATGGTGTGAGATTATGACATTACATGAATGCAACCACTAAAATTTTGACATAAGCATTTGATAATGTTTGTAATGTTTCTATGACCTCAAGTAAAAATGAATAATCTTAAAGCATGGAATACCTTCCTATTATCGATTCAGGCTACATAACTATATCAATATGCTTTACAAAAAATGCCATCTACAGATTGGCCACAAATCCTTAAGTTTTTGTTCATCAAAAATAGATACAAATCACAGAATCAAATGTAGATATACATACATCTTCATTCATTCATTTTCATATGAAACTAAACAACAAAACCAAACCGTAACATTGTGGTCAGTTCCATTCCTCAACTAACAATCAAAGGTTCAACTTGGTGCTAAATTTTTCCACAAAACAAAAAATTAAGGACTATTCAACCTAACACTAATGCACATTGATTCATTGACTCAAATAGAAGAGTAAAATGGATCAAAAAACAACAAACATAAAAGGAAACCAACCCATCAAACACATAAAATGGCCCATGGATGCTTGTGAATAAAAGAGCTAGAAAACCAGCGCAGTCCAAAAAGGCCTAAGACTCATCTGGCCCAGTTACCACCAGGAATCCATTCACATATTTGGAAGAGGCCCAAGACAGCCCAGGAAACAATCAGAGGGGTAAGAAAAACAATGGACCAGGTTGAATCATCCCAAATCAAAACAACCAGATTCACATGCTCCGCCTCCTTCAAACTGGGGAAAATTTGGGGAAAGTTCATCACTTCACGCCAATGCTCCTAGGGCAGAGGATCCAGTCTGTGAGCAGGCTAAGGCTATTAAACAAACATCGGATTGGATAATAACAGGTCAGGTAAATAACTTTATAGTGTTGCGGGCAGGCAGGAACCCTAGCCGCCGACTGCCCCGTTTTCATCTCCAGTACCATTAATCTGCAGGGTATATCCACAGCGCAATCAAACTAAAACCCCATGGCTCTGCGTTTTGTTCTTGAGAGGACGGTGAGAATCAAAACTGGGTATGTCAATCCAAAGCTTGGATTTTGGTTTGCCAGCAGCGCTTTCAAACCCCAGTTGTATTCCTCTTTGCCGCGTACTGACCATTATCCTCTGTTTGAGGTCTCTCTATCTCTAGACTCTAACCCACACACACTCACACTCCCTTGCCCAATATTATTGTTTGTTATTATTGTATCGTATTGTATGTGATTGATTAATTGATTGTGAGCTTTTTTTTAATACAGCCGTGCTGGGGACCCCCAGTTGGGGGTGACCCTCAGCACCCCAACTCCACGTGGGAGGCTGTGGACCAAGTAAAAATAAAAAAAAAAAAATTCAACCAATCACGTGCTGCCACATCAGCTGGGGGTCACTGGGGGTCTTCAAAATTGGGGGTGCAAATCATTTTTCCTCACTAATCTATCCAAAAATAAGAAAACCACAACAACAACAATAACAATGGAAACTGACCATTAAGAAATCAATTAGAAAATCTGACAGTGTAATAAACGGTTTTAAGAAAATTGTAGAGAGCATAGTTCTAAATCGCGGTATCGGGTAACGTAACGGTATCGATCGTGGAGTATCGGTATCAGTAGTATTGACCGGTACGTATCGGGAATCGGGTGTCACGGCCGTGAAATTTTAAAAATCATTAACAATCCCTCCAAAACTCAATTTTATGCATTTTTTTGACTCTTTTGGTCTTAATTTGTCACATTTTAATCAAAATTTTGATAGGTAGGAACACTTAACTATTTTCAACTAAATGAAATGTATTTATTTTAGTCTCATTTTCAACATAGTAAGCTTTTGACAGATGAAGATTTTGATTTCAATATTTATTTTTCTTGTTTTTTTTTCTCTTGCTCAACTGAGAATATATATATATATATATATTAATATAAACAGTGGCATACATGTATAAACAACAGAAAATCAGTGGCTTAAAAAGGTGCAGAAATAGTGGCTTAAAAGATGCAGAAGAACAATGGCCTAAAAAAGAAATTACGAAATAGAAAAACATAACGAAAATAATAATAATAATAATATTGATATATGAAACAAAAATAGTAACAGAGTATAGAAGCTTGCAAGTTCAGCCTTTTGCTTTGTTACTTTACTACACATAGCCAACACACACACCCAACACACATATGCACATGACACACACGGCACACAGACAACATCTACACACACACCACCAACTTTTCTCTCGCTAGATACACCCATTCATCTCTCTCTCTCTCTCTCTCTCGGGAGAGGTTTTGGGTTGGAAAAAATGTAAAGACACACCAAACCAACGGGGGACTCTGGGCACCTCCTCTTTCTCTCTCGGCATGCATCTCTCTCTCCAATAGTAACAGAGTATAAGGAAAACAAAGAAGCTTGCAAGTTGCATATTGGTGTGCTTGCCCAACAACAAAACAGAGCACAACAGTCCAAAGAATGAACTTGCAAAACAGAGCATAAAACATCACAAATTTCAGGAGGTTTTTCTGCTCTGCCCCAATTTCATATGTAACCGAAGATTATTTTTGCTTTTGCTGAAGGTTCTTTGCTCTAATTTCATCTGTACCGGCCATGGCAAATCCGTATTGGAACTGTATCGCTGCATGTATCGGATTCAGGCCGATACGTACCGGGAATCGGATGCTATAGCTGCGATTTTCAGTCTCACTAGTATACTGGTCCATATCCGTATCGCCACTCCAATTTTCCAGTACGAATCGGCCGGTACGTACCGGCCGATATTTAGAACTATGGTAGAGAGAGAGAGAGAGAGAGAGTTTGATATGCCGTCCAATTCGCCATATCTCTGCCGCACTCCTCTCGCTCCCTCCTTGTGGTCTCTTCGCGTACTCCCCTTGCTGTCCGACATTTATATTCGCCGTCCCTGTTGTCTGCTGTAAGAGTCGCCGTTGGTTGCTGTGAGTGAGGTTCGTTCAAACGTCGTTTGTCAAGGGTTTTAGGCTTCCACGGCTTTTGGTGTGAAATCTCACGCACTACTTGTCACGTCAAAGATAATAGAGGCCTTTGTTTTCAAAAAATTATTGAATAGTCTTGCGACACACATAGGGATGGCAATTTGAAACCGGTCTGATGGGGAGCTGATCTCCCGATCCCAAATTATGCTGGTTTTTCCCGAAAAATATCCCCGATGAAACGGGGATAGTATTTAAAAATCAATCCCCGAACAGATTCGGGCCGGGGACGGGGATAAGTATCCCAACCCCGTACCCGGCCCGGCCCCGTCCCTGTTCCCCGGCCCGGTTTTTCCCCGAATTAAAATTACTAATTTACCCCTAGATATATATATAGACACACATAGTAACCAAACCAAACCCTCATCCAGTTGTCTTCCATCTCTCTCTCTACCCCCTCTACTCTCTCTCTCTGGCCCTATTCACGACGTTGATCATCGTCACTGTCGGCGTCTCGGCTTCGCGATCGGCCTCCTCCGTCGTTCACAGCCACAGATCGGCCTCCTCCTTCGTTCATCGCCATTGTCGGCGTCGCGATCGGCCTCCTCCGTCGTTCACAGCGTCATTCACAGCCACAGATCTGCCTCCTTCGCCGATCGGCCTCCTCCGTCGTTCATCGCCACTGTCGGCGTCGCGATCAGCCTCCTCTCTCCCTCTCTGATGCAAATACACAGATCTGTATGTTACATATACCGATCTATTTTTTTTGATGTTGATTCTGTATGTTACATATACAGATCAGTATGTATCTCTGTGACTGGGGAAAAAGGGGGTCTGGAACATTATATATATATATATATATATTTGTTGTTGAAGAAAAAAAAGTGTGTGGGTGATTTTCCGACCACACTGCCCGCTTAGTAACCAGCTGGAGAGCACTGGCAGAATAAATGGCACCTGACTGACCTGCAACAAAAATATAAGAATCCCGCGGTGGTTTCGACCACCCGGGGGCACTCCGACGATCAAGTCAGTATATCTCTTAAAGATAAATCAAGTTCTAAACTCACAAGCTTGAGTATCAAAAACATACCTTAGACCCATGGGGGTGCCTCTCTTTTATAGCCAATACAATCCTAGTCCCAAAAGGAGCCTGGCCCTAATGGTCTTAGGATTACTGCTGATCTGGGACTCCCAGTGGGATTAGGATAAACTCTCTAAGAGTCTTATCTTAATACAAACTGAAGTCTTATCTTATTCTAGGACTCTTGTCCATATCCAAGTTGAGTTCCCTCTTCATTCTAGGACTCTTGTCCCTTATCCGTTTATCTCGGATTCCGATATCTTCGGAGGCAACCTCGGCCTAGCCAAGATGACCTCGGCATAACGACCAAGACACGTGGCACCTCGGCTGACACTAAGAGATGCATACATATCCCAATGTAATCAATTTGAGTATGCTCTTAGATATGTATGGTACCTCTGTTTAAGAAAAAAAATATGTACTTCTCAATACATATCCTCTGGTGGAGCATACTCATTGAATATGTAATTTGTTCGTTAAATATTGTGATGGAACCTACACTGTTCGTTCATCTGTGCCCTTCTGTCCGAGATCAAACTTGCCGACTTCAAAGTTCTCTGGACTTTACTGTCCACTGGTGTCAAGAATCAAGTTTCATGTTTTCCAAGCTGCTTGAAATCGCACCTCCTAGCCGAGGTTCTGGTTCCATTAATTCGTAAACTCCAAGAGCTTTTGCAACTACTCCACTCACACTCTCTGGTGAGTTCCCGATTTCCAGTCACCTATTCGACTCCGGCGATTTTCATATCGGCGTTCATTTCACTTTGTAGGTTCATAAACTCTTTACTTGCTATTAAGCTCAATCTTTCATAACTCTTTTGATTTACTTTGAATCTGTTGATTTGCCATCTGTGGCCTTCTGTTCTCGTCTGTCTTCAATTTTTTGATTTCTTATTGCTAAAATGCCTGGAACTGTTCTTTGTCATATCCGCTTTCTGTTGCTAGCATCATGTCTGGTTCATTACTTTCTTGTTCTTCACATACTTACTTTGGCTTTATTCTTTGAACTTTGTCATCTTCTTGACTATTTTTCTCTTTTTTCATTTAATCCTCTGGCTTCTTCTCTTTCTAGTTCTTTTGCTTAAATCCGTCATTTGTTCTAAGCTTTCATGCTTCTACAACTGTCTTCGTTTCTCTCCTCCAGTGAAACTTTACGTCATTCTGTCATTGTCGTCAGACTTCGGCAATTCTCATTCCGGTTTCCCTCTTTCTGGTAAGCCACTGTTCCTCCTGGTTTTATTTCTTGTCGCTTTCCAAGAAGCTCTGCTTCATTGTTAATCACCATTGCTGTTTTACCCGTTGTTTCCAAATCATCTTCTTGACTACACACTGTTCACATATCTGTTGATTTCTGCCACTGTTCTTGGCTTGACACACTTGTGCAATCTTTTTGTCTTGATTTCCTAATAGCTTCATCACCATTCTTGATTACAAATTACATTATTGTTTCTGTTTTCTGTGTCTTTTTCCAGATTCTTACTTTCAATCCTTGCCTTCATACTCCGAGGTGCTAATCGCCGAGAAGAGCCTTGATCAAACTCTTTGGGAGATCGATGCTGAGCTCGAGGCCAAGAAGGCTGCTGAGAAGTCTTCCCAACTGTCTTCTATATCCTGCCATTGATGCCGAGTAGTTTTGTTTTCAATTCTCTTTCTTCTTCTTCGGCTAAGCTTGAGCCGAGAAGAAAAAAGCATTCTTCGTCACCCTCTTGGACGAGGATTTTCTTCAGTGTCTCTTCACTCTTTTTGGCTGGCTCCTTGCCGACATCATCTAGGACCTCCATGTCCTCGTCTTCAATCTCTGCCTTCCCTGGTTCCCGAATGTTGCAGGTAGTTTTTATTGCTGCCATGGAGCAATTCTTTGCCTGCAGTTGGTCTCTTCTGACTTCTTCAATCCCATGTTCTGTGGGGAACCGCAATAGTTGATGCAACGTTGAGGGAACTACCCCCATTGCATGCAGCCATGATCTTCCCAAGATGATATTGTATGGTGAGGGCGTGTCAATCACCATGAATTCTGTCTTAATCCTTTTCTAACTGCTCTTGCATGATTCTATACTTAGAATATTTTGCATGCCTTTCATACTTTGCCTCATTTGTGCAATCTTCTCGGGGTTACATACCTCGGGTATAATAGCTACAAAACTTTTACTTCGGCATGATACTGACCTGCAAACTTTTCATAAATTCTAACAAGTGCGAAACATATACTACTCAATGTAAACTTTGCAAATTTTTTCTCAAGTTTCAACAAGTGTTTAAACGGTGATCTCGGTCTAGCCTACTTGTAAATTGCTATAAATTTCAACAAGGATTAACATATAC